CAAAAGGCCGAGAAAGGTATGCTTAATAACGTTCAAGCCTGTTTAATTTATAGCTCCTTTCTCTGCTGTTTGTTTACTCTACCAACGATGTGGGACATAAGAAACAGCCTTTGCTGAACACTTCAATTTTGAACTACTTCTTCTTCTTCTCTTCTTTGGGAATGGGACATAAATATGGAAGCAGCAACGTCTGTATTGCAGGCCATTCTTTGGGAGCCGGCTTGTCTCTACAAGTCGGAAAAGCATTAGCCAAAGAAGGAATCGACGTGGAAGCGCATTTGTTCAATCCACCCTCAGTTTCATTAGCCATGAGTTTACGTAACATTGGGGAAAAATCCGCGGTCGTTTTGGAAGAGGCTCAAGTCAATGATTACTTCAACTACTGAAACAAACGAAGAGGAAGCTAAATCTCTTACTCTAGGATCGAAGCAATGGATACCCCACGTAAACAATTCTTGTTTCATCTGTTGTTCAATGAATTGCGTTTACTTTAGCCATGGCCCATGGTCCTTTATCCTATATGATAAAAATATTAACTAAGGCCCTGTTTTATAGGACAAATTTTTCATGGAAGATGGAAATATTTTTGCTATTTTCCGCTTTTTAGAGTGTTTGATGGGAAACATTTTTCAAATAATTGATTTTCCACATTTTCTTGATTTGCCACATTTTCTTACTTTTTGAGGTAAATCAATTCTTATCACTTTGGTGGGAATTGGTTTTCTAGACAGTTTTTTTTTATTATTATTTTTTGGCAATGAAAACAAATTATATCCCCAATTGTAATAAATTATATCATTTTAATTGATAATTTTCATGGAAAATAAAGTCAAACGAATATCAAAAGATCCAAAATTTAATATTTTTCAGGTGGAAAATTATATCAATCAAACACAATTAATTGACAATTATCAGTAAAACAAGTTTTAGGCAATTCAATTTCATAGAATGTATTTTCTTTCCACCTTAATTCCATTTTTGCAATCAAACGGACCCTAAGATATAAAAGCTTAAACTACTTCTCTGATTAAAGTTGAGTTTTAATATTTAGCCCTAGTGTGTTTCTCATTTTTCATCTATAAAAATGAAAAATATGACCGTTATCCATCACATCAAGCCATCAATTTTGAATTTCTATATCTTGTGTGGGGTCCAATAACGACTATATTTTTCATTCTCAGTCTACAATAATGAGAA